TTTATATAATATATATTATATATATATATATATTATATATATATATATTTTTTTTTTATATATATTATATCCTTATATATATTTTTATATATTATATCCTTTTTCTGACGTTGTAAATCATACACGACCGCTCGAAAACGAGTAATCGATCCTTAAGTAGCGGTGTTATTGTTGCTGTCACGTATGCTGTCAGAAAGAAAATAGATAAATGCTAAACGATGTTAAAACGAGATCCTACAAACTCCGTTTTGTCCAACGGAAACTGATTCAATTGACATTTTAAGTCTGCCATTCAGTTTATTGACCATTTCGGGTCCTATAGTACGATTACAGTCGGCATCCAAAGACCCGTGAATCCAATCACCTACCATGGTGTCTATGTGAAGGTTACCTAAATTTATTTTCATAAGACTGCGCATATATCCAATTGAAAATTTAAGAATTGAATTTTCAATTCAAAAAACTTACTTGTAAAAATTTACAAGTAATACTTGTTATAGATGTATACATATATGTATGCACGTTCAAGTTCCCGCTCAATATCCTGGGATTGGCTCGTATCGGCCTTATATTATTCCTTATATCCAATTGCTTAAAAAATGGACATTCTCATACAAAAAATGATGGCGGTTCTCATACAAAAAATGTGCATACGCGCACACTTACGGAACAAAAGGATTAAATACAAACATTTTATTATATGACATTTTGAAAATATAATATATCAGGTCTACCGGAAAGTTCTGTCCGTTTTTGGAATAAAACAAAATACAAATTTTTCTGAATTTTTCAAAAATGGGGATATACAAATTGCCCTCACGCTGGCAAGAAATCATTAATAATAATGGCAATTATTATATTATTTAATCAAGTTTATTGACGGTAAGAAAAATAATTGTATTTTGTTTTATTTCAAAAACGGACAGAACTTTCCGGTAGATCTGATATATAAATTATTTACTTTTTCATCAAATTAAAGTAGATTGTTTCTCTGACCGCTCTTAGATTACGTAAATGCAACAAAACTTTATTCGAATCAATTTCGACCAACATGTTGTGTATCGTCGAAACGATTAATCAGACTTACGCAACGCGATTGCGAAAGTTGCGGATTTTCGACATTGATCCCGATTTATGAACGGTGACGTTACGATTTTCCGAATTCGGACGAAAACTGCTCGAATTAACTTCCCTGTCGTTCTTTGCTAAACTTTCGACATATGCTCGGGTAATAACGAGCGGCGCTATATAGGTTCTGACGAGAGAGGGAGGTGAAGGGATAGTCCGTGCGCGATAGTCCTCCGCACTTGCTTGCAACCGAAGAGGACAGCCCTCGCGAAGGAAAATGTTTGGCAAATAGCTCGTTCAGGCCGTAGCAGGCGACGTGATGACCGTAACCCTCAACAAAATCACACGAAAGATCCCCCGCTGGGTGTCGAGCGAAGTCATGAATGCGACCCCTGCGAGCTGTTAGGCGAGAGAGCCACGGGGGAGGGGGGGGGCGAAGGGAGAAGGGTTTATCCCTGCGACACTTATGGGCGCACAAAGACCGGATTGTAGTTGGCTTCTCTTCTCTGTCAACGCGCGAGCGGAAATATACTCTCGAATTAACGAAATCTTCGAGCGAGACAGAGAAAATTCCGGCACGAGTATTATTATCCGGCAAAAAAAAAAAAAACAAATTTATTAAATTTTGTTTGAATTAACTTTAACAATCGAGAACACACAATTTTTTTTCTTTACATCCTAAGAGTGTTCGATCTCTAAATTACGAAACAAAACAACGTTGTTAAACGATATAATTTTTAAATATCGCTTTGTATCTGACGAATCGCTTCCTATAAAGGTCGTCTTTGAAGCGGGGTTGATGATCGCGGTCCGGACCCTTTCGCGCGTCAAGTTATTCACTTCTTTTTTAACTCTCTTCGAGTCCTCTTGGCCACCGCCACCGCCAATTCCGATGCACCGGAATTGCATACGCGATGTGTATGCAACGCGGGCATAATAAGAAGCCTATTTGCTTCACAAATTCGCCCCCTCCCCCCCCCCCGCGAAAACTTCACTTCGCACTCGAGACGGGAGCGTGACGCGACGCGCGGAGGCGCCTTTTTCGCATCATCGCATCATTCAATTAAACAGGAATTGTTAATTTGCCGCGTTGTTAGGTCGCGCTCGATATATGTATCTGTACTTCAGCGGCGCAACGTGTGAAGGGAGTCCTCCTCGAGTGTCGCACTTACCGTGGCCATAGCGAATAATAATCGCGCACTTTTCAATGTGCGCATCTTCAAACTGCCAAGTGTATATGCGCGAAACAATGGCGCGGGGGGTACACGATGCGCTGCGGAATTCTTTTCGAGTACGAGAAAAGCGTTAATAAAACGAGACGTGTACGTGCTCTTCTTCAAATATATTTTCAAGTATGTTTTTTTTTTTTTTTTTTTTTTTTACGTTTAGATAAGCGTGACAAAAGACTCCGCCGTTCTTCAATGTTTGCGTTGTGAATAGCTAAAAATTTTCGCTAAAAATTCTGAAACTATTTGTCTCAAAATTAAAAGATTTGTTAAATTTAATTAAAAAATTAAAAAATTACACTGTCTATAAGAAACATATAAGGAATGACGCAAATATATATATATATATATTTGGTCATGAGAGCCGTTCGCTAGGTGTTGTGCGGAAATTATACGTGTATATATATAGGTACATATATACGTGTTTACGTGTAAATTTTTACACGTGAAATTCGAATTGAAATAACAATTCTAAAATTTATACAGAATGCTATACTTGTGTGTGTGTGTGCATCTCGTATATGAGAAATTCCAAATACCTCCCTAATTGAAATCAAATTTATATTGCGAAAAAAACTCCTCGGCCAGGAGTCGAACCTGCACCGAAAAAATTATATTCTTGTAAGTAGAAGATTTTATATTTGAAAAATCTTCTTAAAGATTTTAGATGATATTCTTCTGAAATTAAGAATATATTCTTTATTTAAGAATATAGTCTTTTTCGATAGTGAGATATATATGTTTTTCTATAGAGGCTTTTTATATTCTAATCAGTATATATTCTTATCAATATTATTATTTATCAATATTATTATTATTTAGAGGATTTTCCTCTTAAAATAAGAAACTCTTCTTGACGCCTATTTTAGTATAAAATATACTTAAAGTAAGTGGGATATATATCCTCAAAACAAGAATACTATTTTTTCGGTGTAACAGCTGACATTGCGCGACTTCTTTTATTATATTGTTAATATGTGTTTACAGCAAGGGAAATTAACAATCAATATTTGTTACATATAAGTGTATTTCTTAAAATAAATTTGATTCTCTGTTTTAGTACATCGAAAAAATTATATTCTCGTAAGTAGAAGATTTTATACTTAAAAAATCTTCTTAAAGATTTTAGATGATATT